TTTTTTTGTGGGTTAAAATTATGTTCTACATCCTTCTCCAGCTCTGTCCAGAACCCTCTGTTGTGATCCCGGTCAGAGCAGTCAGTGGTGGTAGCCGGGCACCATCTAGCTGTACTGTACTCAGTCCGGTGGAGGCCTTGGTAGCTGTAGACAATTAGTCCTTCGGACTGATCTTTTCCTTGTATCTTGTTCTCTTCGTTCTCCCTTGCTCCCGAAGGGATGAGACCAGTGAAGTATATTAGATGGCCGCTTACAGGCTTTTAAGACCCCAGACATTACTCACCAAGGTCGAATGTAGAACATTGTCTTTATAAGCTATGTTATGCCAATTGAGTTAGATGTTCCCCGAGACCATGGTCCCTACAGCCCTCTGCCCAGCAATTCAGTCCCTCAGGGAGTTTGGATGTGTCTGTGGGGCTTCCATGACCTTTCCTCATACAAGTTGTGCTCAGGGCTTCTAGATTGTCATATATAATTGATTCACTTGTTTTTTTGGGTCTTTGTTGTAAGAGGGACCACTGGAAGTGTCTTGACTATTCCGCCATCTTGGCCCCATCTCTCTATCTTCATTCTTTAAGGGTGTTTTTACTGGGAATAGAATTCTCTGTTGATATTTATTTTCTTTCAGCACATTGATATAACCTCATAGTAAGATAGTCCCCAACTTAATGACAGGATTCTGTTGTGATGACTGTGTTGTAAGTCAGTTCTGACATAAGTCGAATTCCTCATTTTTTTTTTTCATTTTATTATCAGTATCTTTATAAACCTGGCATTGTTTGGAACAGTAAATCATAAAATTGGACATCTGTGAGTGAATATGAATGATAACATCCCAAATGACACACTGCAACATATTACTAACGATAAGATGTACCAAAACAAAAACCAAACAAAAAGAAAAAGCGGGCTGTTGTAAGTGCAGTTTGTGGTAACTCGAATATGTTTAAGCTGTAACTTGAATACGTCGTAATTCGGGGACTCCCCGTATTCCGACTTGCGTTGTTTTTGCTTGTAAGTCGACTGTCCATCTTATTCTTGTTCCTTTGAAGGTAATCTACCCTTTTTTCCTCTTGGTTGCTTTTAAGATTTCCTCTTTGTTTTGGTTTTCCAGAGTTTCATTAAGATATGTCTAGGTGTGAATTTCTTTTTCTGTATCCTTTTGGGGTTCATTGGTCTTGAAATTTGTGGCTTGGTATCTTTCAGTAGTTTCTTTTCTCCTGGTATTCCTTCACTAGACTTAGTTTCAAGGGGATAGAGATTGTCTGTTTTAGCTCTTCCCTACATACCTGGTGCCCAGTAAAATTCCTGGCATGGTCCAAAAACAAAAAACTGAACCCGTTGCTGTCGAGTCAATTCCAACTCATAGGGGCCCTATAGGATAGAGTAGAACTGCTCCACAGGGTTTCCAAGGAGTAGCTGGTGAAGGAGTAGCTGGTGGATTCGAACTGCCGACCTTTTGGTTAGCAGCCGAGCTCGTAACCACTGCGCCACCAGGACCCTTGGTTAATACAATGTGGCTACATTTTATGTTTATTTGAATTATATTAATTTTAAATAGTATAATATAGAATGCATTAATAAAGGCTCACTTTTGAGGTGTATTTTAACATAGTATAAGGTGAGCAGTCTCACCAAATGCAGATTGTACCAAATTTAAAATCTTACAGAATGTGACTTGTACCAAATTTTTAGAAAGGAATTCATTGTAGAAAAGTCTGTCATTTCAAGGTTGATTGGCCAAGTACATTGTAAAGTATATTTATGTTATTGCCACACGGTGGCGCCCATTCACTGCTTAACAAATGCCCAACATACTTGTCAGTAAGTACCTTGCAGCTGTTGTCTTGGGTTACACACGTTTTTCACTATGGAAGACCTTTGAGGTGGTCCATCACTCATTACATGTGAACACCCCATGTAGATTTGTCCCATGAATGAATGAAAGCTAGCAGGGTCTGCCTTATTATACACTTGGGGAAACTGGCTCAGAGAGGTAAAGGAACCTGCCAAATGTCTGGCAGCAAGCTAGCCACAGAGCTGGGGTTACGACTTGAGATCTGTGACCCAAGGCTGGGCTCTCTGCATGTGCCCCTGGTGGTGTCACCCAGTGGTGTGTGGTGTGGTCTGTCACTCGGACTTGCTGCTCAGTGTCTGTCGGCTGCAGCAGAGGCTTGTGGGTAATGGTCTTTCGTGTCCTGTGAGGAGATAATGCAAAGTTCCACTGGGTCATTCAGCCAGTATTTCTTGATGGTTTGTCCTGTGCCAGGCACTGTGCTCTCATTCAGACGCTGCCCTTGTCCCCCAGAAACATGCAGGGCAGGGGGTGGGCACCATGGCAGTTGAGCACATTGAATGCAAAGATCCAGGGCACAGACCACATTCCTTCATTCACCCCACACCTGGCAATACCTTCTCTGAGTGCGGCAGCCAGTTGTCAAGAACACAGTGTTAAACAACATAGGCAAAGTCCCTGCCCCCATAGAACTTCTACAGTGTCATTGGTCAGGGTTGGGGGGAGTGGTAGACAGGGAGCTCAGCTTTGAAGGATGTGCAGTACCTGCTTGCCAGGTAGGATTGAGGAGGGAAACGGGGAGAGCCTTCCAGCAAAAGAATAAAGGGACCTCCTGGTGTGGCATGTGGTATTGCTGGGCTGTGGGATCTGTGGCTGGAGTTGAGGGTCAGGGTTATGCTGTGAAGGCTCTTGTATACCCCAGTGCCCTGCTCATTCGCCTCTGGGCCTTTTTCCCCTGAAGTTCTCGGCGGCTTGAGTGCTGGTGCCTCCTCTTCAAACTTACACACTCCTCTTGTGCCTCAGGGCCTGTGCACAGCCCAGCCCAGCTCCAGCCCCGCTAGCCTCAGTTGACACAGCTCACACTACCCACCTGTTCATTTTGGCAGGTGCCAAAGGCCTTGGCATGTTGCATCATTACCAGTTACCAGTTTCTCTTGTCACCACACATACTTTACGTGTGGGACTAGTTGTCTAGCGTCCTGGGTTCCTTGAGGTCCTGGGCTGTGTCCTCTGCACCTCGCTTGTCCGTGAGCCCCTGCCTCCTCCCTGAGCATGCAGTGGGCCTCCGGGCTGGGCCAGTCGGGGAAGAGGGAGGTAGGAGGGAGAACTCTCGATGTGCATGTCCACAGAACCAGCCTCCTGAGGGAGCCGTGGGGCTTGGGCCTGAACCCAGCCAGTGTTGGAAAGAGACTGGAGACCGAGACTGTGAGCCTAGAGGGGAGGGGGCTGAGAGAGCTGAGGGCAGGACTGACCCACCCCCCCCCCACTCTCATTGGCAGTGACATCCTATACCCCAGAGACTCTTCCAGCCCACACAGCGGTGTGCCTGCAGAGGTGCTCTGCCGGGGCCGAGACTTTGTGGTGAGTACTTGGGCTTTCTGGCCCCAGCAGGGCACAGCCGGCGCTCAGGCAGAGGGCAGGCGCGTGTGAGGCAGGCAGGTGCGAGTGGGCGCTGGACTTTGCACCTTCCTGCTCCTTCATTGGGATACTGGGTCTCAGGCGTCATAAGGCCCTTTGAGTTCCTCTAGCTCAGAGGCTGCAGACTGGAGGCCCGTGGGTGGGATCTGGTCAAGGAGCGTATTTTATTTGAGTGGCATTTGGAAATGTTGCCTTGGTTGTCAAGTTTTACACGTCACATAAACCAGATTTCCAGCTTGTCTTGAATAACTGGACAGTCGGGCACTGCTGGGCCCACTTTCTGGAACAACGCTAGCCTTCTCAGTTCACCCCAGCCCCTGGCGTGTTCTTCTTCCCTCCTGTTTCCTCCCTGCCTGGTTGCTGCGGGCATCTGAATTTGTGACTCCTGAGCTCCTCACAATAGTCCTAGGAGGTGTTGGGAATACAGTGGTGAATAAGATAGGTACGGCATCCCCTGCCCTGGGGAGCCTTTGTGGTCGAGGTGGGGGTGAGGGGGAGGTGGGGTAGGTGGCTGTCCCCTGGAGGAGACGACCTGGAGCTCCATTTCTCAGAGGAGAAAATGGAGGCTGAGGTGAAGTGACTGCCCAGGCCCACACAGCAAGTAAGTCAGGGCCAGGCCCCAGCCTAGGTCTGCCTGATGCCCAGGCCCATGTGCTGACCGCCACTCTGCAGCCTTATCCCAGCTCCCAGGACACCCCCATGGGTTTTGGGGCAGTCTCTTCTCTGTCCCCCTGGAAACATGCTTGCTTTTCTCTCCCAGATGTGGAAGTTCACGCAGAGCCGCTGGGTGGTGAGGAAAGAGGTGGCAGCGGTGACTAAGGTAAGTGGGGTTCCTGCTGATGTGAGGCCGGCCGGGGCCGTGGGAGCCAGGTGCTGCCTGTGGGGCTGGGGTGGGCTCTCAGGCTGGCTTGGCCTCGGTTTGGCCCTTGTGCCCCACTGCAGCTCTGTGCGGAGGATGTGAAGGACTTTCTGGAGCACATGGCCGTGGTGAGGATCAACAAAGGCTGGGAGTTCATACTGCCTTATGACATGGAGTTCATCAAGAAGCACCCGGATGTGGTCCAGCGGCAGCACATGCTGTGGACCGGCATCCAGGCCAAGTAAGAGCAAGCTGGGTGTGATGAGGGGCGGCTAGGCTGACAGGAGTAGCAGGAGGAGGGGCTGGCCGGGCCTGGGGTGGTGAAGGCACATCCAAAGCCCAGAAGCCCCACTCCCCGTTCCTTCATTCCCCCCAGCACAGCACTTGCACAGCCGTTCCCGGGTGGTCAGAGCTGCATGTGAGGCAGTCTGTTGGTCTGTCTGTTCTGAGGAGCTGGGGAGGAGGGGCAGGATGTGAAGGAGAGAGAAGAAGGGCATTTGGGGCAAGAGCCTGAGTTTGTGTAGCCGAAGGCAGGCTGGAAGGAGGGAGGCTAAGGATGGGAGAGATGGGCCGCCCCTCTGACCACTGTGGGGCTGAGTGGAAGTGGGCCCTGTGAGGAGAGGTCCTCACTGCAGGGAGGAGGGACTGGCAGGTATCTTCAGTGCCCAGGATGTCTGGGGCTTATGGGGAATGTTCGTCTGTGAGGGAAGGGATGGCAAACATGTGGCTTAAAATTAAATGGACTTTTTCCTTTCTTTTTAGATTAGAAAAAGTCTATAGTCTTGTGAAGGAAACCATGCCAAAGAAGCCGGATGGACAGTCAGGTTTGTGAGGGCCTTCGGGGCTGGGCAGGCCCCTAACCTGGACTCTGGCTCTGCAAGTGCATGCCAGGGCTTGGGCCCGGAGAGGGGGACGTGGGGCTGTCTCTTCCCCACCCTTTCTGTGCCCCCTCCTGTGCCACCCACAGACCTCAGCTGAAAACATCTCCAGCAGCAAAGCTTCAGCCTCAGGGACTGAGGGCTCGGCTCCTCCAGGCTGTGTCTGGAGACCCACTTGCCCTCTTGGGTCAGCAGGAGGTGGAGGGGTGGGAGGAGGTGCTGGCGGGACCTCAGCGGGATCCCACCCTCACGTGAATGTGGCAATTTATTTTTTCCCAGTTCCGTTTCTTCCCTTAATATCAGGGTAGCTCTTCCCCTTGAGTAAGGTGAGGTGAAAGGCAGGGCTGGGCACTTGCTTCAGCCCCAGCTGTCCTGTGTTGTTACTGTCTGGGAGATGGGGCTGGGTCCCCAGGGCAGAGGGACCTCAAGCCATGGTCTCAGACCCTTATCTGCAGGGGTCTCTGAGCAGCGTTGTCCCCCCGCACAGTGCCTGCTGGGCTGGTCTCTGGGGATCAGCGGGTCCAGGTTGCCAAAACCAAGGCGCAGAAGAACCACGCACTGCTGGAACGGGAGCTGCAGCGCAGGAAGCAGCAGATGCAGGCGCCTGCTGTCCTGCCCGGCATGCGGATCAAGGAGGAGCCCATGAGTGAGGAGGGAGAGGAGGAGGAGGAAGGGCAGGAAGCGGAGGAGGAAGAGGAGCCCATGGACACTTCCCCCAGCGGTGGCCTCAACAGCAGGCTGGCCAATGGGCTGCCTGCTGGGCGGGCAGCGGGTGGGGACAGCTTCAATGGGCACCCGCCCCCGGGCAGTGCCAACACCCCTGTGGCCCGGGAACTGAGGGCCTTCGTGGAGGCCACCTTCCAGAGACAGTTTGTGCTCACGCTGAGCGAACTCAAGCGCCTCTTTAACCTGCACCTGGCCAGCCTGCCGCCAGGCCACACACTGTTCAGTGGCATCTCTGACCGCATGCTGCAGGACACGGTGCTGGCCGCCGGCTGCAAGCAGATACTGGTGCCTGTAAGTAGAGTCTGTGCCTGCCGGGACAGGCGACAAAACGTGGCCACGAGCAGCCCCTCAGGAGGGCCCATGGCACGCAGCACCTTTCCTGGGTGCAGGTCTGGAAACCTCTGGGGTGACCTGGGACCTGGCCGCTTTGGGAAAGCCACTGTGTGGAGGCCGCAGGGGGCATGGGGACTTCAGAGGGTCGTCAACCTTGGTTTGCATCTCAGCTCTCTCATGTGGTAGCTGTGTGTGACCCTGGGCATGGCAGCCTCTCTGGGCCTCTGTATCCTCATCAGAAGTGGAGACTTAGTTTTTGCATTGTAGGGTTTTTGGGAGGGCTGAGTGTTGCTCTCATGTTGCTGGGCCTAGAGCAGGGCCTCAGGAGACAGACACAAGCTCGCTATCGTGATTTCTCACCTTTCTGCCTCTGGCGGCACCTCACCCACTTCTATCAGCTTTGCCGCTTTTCAAAACGATTTCATTTCTGGTATCGTTTGATCCTTTCTGCAACCTGCAGATGATGGAACTGAGGTTCAGCAAGGTGAAGTGAGCTTGTCCAAAGGTCACATACCCAGGAAGTGATAGAGCTGGGACGTGAGCTTTGGTATAGCGAGTCCAAGTCTGAAAGCCTTACTGCTACAACTTAGACGAGCTGAACCTTTGACCACCGCCCACGTCAAAACCCCCAGCATGTGCCTGGTCTTGGCAGACTTCCCTGTTCTTAGAGCTAGTGACCAGCACAGGTGCTGTGGCCTCTCAGCGTTTCCCACGCCAGGCCTTGCAGGTGGCCGGGTGGGCCATCTACACCCCAGGCTTCTTTTCCTTTTACTGGAAGGAGGACGTGTCGGACCACCACGTGTGTTGAGGCGAAGAACTGGGCTGTAGCCTAAAGGAGGCTATTCTGGTCGTTCTCTTCTCCTCCAGGCTCTGCCCTGACCTGGCAGCACATGGGTGCAGTGGGGTTGTGGCTCTCTTTTAACAAGGGATGCTGACGTTGCCAGTGCCAGGGCCAGAAGCACCTGTAGCCTTGGGTGATGCCCTGAGGCCGGCCCATCCCTATGTACGTGAGAACAGAAACTAGGACAAGAGGCCCTGGGCCTCAGGCTGGCCGGGCTGTCTCAGGGGATGTGGCCCTCACGGCAGGCCCTTGGAGGTGCTGCGTCAGTCCCTGGCCCTCCTGGCAGGGAGCCTTCTTGGTGAGGTCTCCTATGGAAGGTGCTAGGGTCTGGGACTCCTTCTCTATTTGGAGCTGTCCTTACCCACCCAGCAAACAGGTCCAGTGATGTTCAGGGTGGTCAAGTAAGAGAGGGGAGGTTCTCCTGGCCTGCTGGAGTGGACAGAAGGTGAGGGGAGATGAGGCGGTGGCCCTCAAGCTTCCCCTGGACCTGCTCTTGCCTTGCTGCTTCCTCTTGGTAGAGCTGGAGCCTGAGGGAGACCCCGCAGCCTTCTGGAGCTCTCATTGACCTCCTTCCCCATGACCCTGCTGTGGGGGCCTAACATAGTTGTGTCCGAGCTGGAGGAGATTCAGTCTGTCCAGCCCCCTTGTGATTTTACACGAGAACCATGAGATCCAGGGAGAGGGAAGAGATTCACAAAGACTTGAGTGTAGCTCCTGGTTCTGCTACTTCTTAGTTGTATGACTGTGGACAGTAAATAAACCTTTGTGAACCTAGTTTTCCTCATAGAGAATGGGCATAACACCTTGCTTCCTCCCAGATTTCTAATGATCCCATGAGATTGTGGATCTGTAGCCCCACGTGGTGGCGACCGTTATTGTTCCTTGTATTGTGGAGCCAAGACTGGAACCCACTGAACCAGGCTCGCTTTCCTCTGGTCCCCAGAGCCTGTGCCGTCCATTTCCTGGCCACCTTCGGACCCTGCTGAACCACGTGGCATGGATTGCTTGGGAGTCAGGCAGGGCCTTTGACCCACAATGACATGGGTCATTGATTGAGAGGGCACCCTAAGGAGTTATGAGGGAAGGGGTACTTCTCAGGACATATCTGAGGGTTGACATTTTAGGGTAGGAGGACACTGTGTGTTAAGGCAGAGAACTGATCTAATGGCAGGCTAATGGGAAGAACAACCCAGCTTTCCTGGTAGAGCTGTGGGCTTCTAGCTAGGCATTTTTATGCCCCTTCTCTCACTGAAGCCCTGTAAAGTCCTGGTGGGGTGTGGCTGGTCTCCTCACGGGAAGGATGAGGAAACAGACTCAGGTGTTGTGCCTGCCCAAGGTCCCACAGCTAGTGAATGACAGGAGCTGGGACTGGAAACCACGTTCCCAGGGTTGGGCTGGTGCAGACCAGGAGGGTGGGAAGAGGGCAGGGCAGGGTGGGTGAATCCATGGGGTAAAGACAAAGGACCAGCTCACCCCTGGGCCTTGGTTAGTTTCCCCCACAGACTGCTGCTTCACCGGATGAGCAGAAGGTGTTTGCCCTCTGGGAGTCTGGAGACATGAGCGATCAGGTGAGGAGACCTTTGCTGCCATCTGCCCTGAGCTGAGAGGTTTACCTGGAGGGGGCGAGGCCTTTGGAGGGATGCCATCCAGGGTGCAGTCATACACTTTGCAGATTCTCTAGCTCCTCCCAGTTTAAAATCATTCCCGCTCCAAAAAAAGTCAAACCCATTGCTGTCAAGTCGATTCCGACTTATAGCGACCTTATAGGACAGAGTAGAATGGCCCCATGGAGTTTCCAAGGAGAGCCTGGTGGATTCGAACATGTCGACCTTTTGGTTAGCAGCCGTAGCTCTTAACCACTATGCCACCAGGGTTTCCGTTTCCGGCTCAGAGTCTGTCAAAATCGGCTGAAACTTTTAAGCCTAAACCAGTGGTTCCCAAATGCTAGTCTGAAGTGGCTACATCAGAATCACTTTTTTTTTTTTTTTTTTTAAGAGTTTAGCTTTTCATTGAACGTGTTACAAAAGGGGTTTAGTCAGAAAGACCAAAGCCCATGTCATCATTGGATTCCTCAGGTTCTTTCTTTGCTTCCACTGTCTTTTCAGCTGGGGCAGCAGTGGTGGAGGGGCGGGCCTCCCACTGGGGCAGGTCCACCAGCCCCTACATGCAAATGAGGCTCCCAATGTTGACATTGGCCAAGGCCTTTGCAAACAAGCCAGGCCAGAAGGGTTCAGCATGTACGGCAGCTGCTTTAAGGAGGGCGTTGCTCTTATCCTTTGAGACAGTCACCTCATCATGCAGGATGAGGGCTGCGTAGGTGTGCAGCTCGGAGGCCGTGGTGTGAGTGAGTGCTAGGCTGGTGGCTGCCAGGCACGGTGCTGAGGGCCTCACCCCATTGTGGTTTTACCTTCCTTGGAAGAACCTTAGCAGCAGCTGAGGAAAGAGGTCAGAATCACCTTTTTAATATAGATTGCAAGGACCAAGACCAAAAATCCAAACCCATTGCTGTAGATTTGATTCCTACTCATAGCAACCCTATAGGACAGCGTAGAACTGCCCCATAGGATTTCCATCGCTGTAATCTTTAGGGAAGCAGATTGCCACATCTTTCTCCTGTGGAGCAGCTGGTGGGTTCTAACTGCCAACCTTTCAGTTAACAGCTGAGCGCTTAACCACTACGCCACCAGGGCTCCTTAGTCCAAGGACTAACTCCAGAATTTCAGTTCAGTTCAGTAGATACGGGGTAGTGTACTAGATACTTAGTTTTCTAAAATGCTTTCTAGGCGATTCGATGCAGCTGGCTAAGGAACCAACGGTGAACCTGTTGCTCAGGTTGCCTCTTGCAGCGGGACTCGGATTCCTCATCAGATGTCGGGTTGTGATTTTTTTAGGTTAGAGACATTGGTCATTTGTGCCTCTAGTCACACTCTGGCAGGAATGAATCACAGGTGTCTGGTGAACAGAAATATGAATTAAACTAGCAGCTGGGCTTGTCATATACCTCAAGGTCTAGAGGTTTCCCTTAAATACAACTTGCCTAAACTTTAAAAATTAGGTTTGATTGCTAAAACTCCAGTCTGTGATTGTCCAGGTCCTAAGGTGGTGAGAGAAAAGGGGGTAAGCTGAAGCCCATGCTGGGTTCTTTGTCCCCTTTTACCTCTTGGAAGGGAACTAACTGTGTGGCTGAGGAGAAGGGGGGCTTTGCTCCCTGCCCCCGCCCTGTGATGTGCTGTGGAGCCAGAGCAGCTTTGAACTGGTCTCCCTGAGCACGCCTGCGTGCTTTGGGCCAAATAGGCGACGTCTCGGTTTCTACTCCTGAAGTACTCTGATAATTAAAAAAAAAAAAAAAATTAATAAATGCACCTTTTTAAAAAAAAATCAAATAGAACCAGAAGTTTAATGGGAAATATTCATCTCCTGTCCTGCCAGATTCCTAACTCCCACTCCTCAGAGGCAATCTTTTTTTAACTACCTGAAGGAAGATACCACTAAAAGAGTTAACCTTTTTTTTTTTTTTTTAAAGACAAAATGTGTTTATACTGCTATTTGATGTATCAGTTTGACATTGTCTTTGGGCTTCCCGTGGTGGTGGGTGAGGATTTAGCTTGGTGCAGTGGTTAAGAGCTACGGCTGCTAACCAAAATGTTGGCAGTTTGCATTCACCAGCTGCTCCTTGCAAACCCTGTGGGGCAGTTCTGCTCTGTCCTGTAGGGTTGCTATGAGTTGGAATCAACTTGACGGCAAAGGGTTTTTGTGTTGGGAGAAAGAGCACTGATGGCCAAGTGGTACAGCGCTCGGCTGCTAACCCAGAGGTCGGCAGTTCGAGCCCACCAGCCGCTCCTTGGGAGAAAGATGTGCCAGTCTGCTTCCACAGCCTTGGAAACCCAATGGGGCAGTTTTACCCTACTGTATAGGGTCACTATGAGTCAGAATTAACTTGATGGCAGTGGGCTTGGTTTTTTTGGTTTATGTTGGGAGATGTATTTTTAGTTAAACCAATTACCACTGTTTATAGTATCACATCTGGAAATCTGTTCATTGCAGACCCAAATATTAATAGTATATATTGTAATGAGATTTATTTTGTATACTACGGATTTTCACTTGTCTAATTTTCTGAATACACGTACATACCACCAGTGACATCTTTCTTGAGGCTGAGGCCCTGGAAGCCTCTCGCACTGCCTCCTGCTCCTCCAGTGTGAACTGGCTCTGCACTCTGCCTGTTGCTGGCTTGCTAGGTCTCCTGTCCTCTCCTTGCTTTGCTTTGCTTGCCGGGTGGCAGAGGAGTTGTCTGCATTCTTTCATGTCTTTCTTTTCTTCGTCTGGTATTATTGTTTGGGCCTAGAATTTTAGAGGACAAATCATTTTCCCTCTGACTTTAAGGTATTTCTCTATTGGTTTCACGCTTTTGAAGTTGTTGAAATTCAACGACATTTTGCTCTTGATATTTTAAATTTGACTCATAGCCTTTTCTTTATCACAAACCAAGCATTTTTTTTCCCCTTATTCTTTATATTAGTGCAATTTCAGATGTGCCCTTGGGTGGGTCATTATTGTGCTAGGTGGTTGGGTCGTTTTCCTTAGAAAATTCCGTTAGAGATTTGATCATTTCTTTTACCTTTTGTTTTCCCTGCTCTTTTGGAATCCTTATGTCAGATGTTGGACATGTTAGACTAATGTTTTCTCTCTCATTTAACACCTTCTCTGCCTTTGGGGAGATTTCAGCCATCGTTGATCCTTTCTGTTTAATTTTTATTCGGGGCAGTAATGCTTTTCACGGCATCCTGTTTCATGGATGCATTGTCATGTTTGTGTGTCACGACCTTAAGCCAGTGTGACCCCTGCTCACTTCTCATCCCTTCCCCCATCTTCATGCAGTTTATTTTTATTATTGTAAAAAATACATATAACATTTGCCGTTTCAACATTTTTCATGCACTTTTGATTGTGTCTTTCCCTGCCTACTAAATCAGTTATCACGCCTGTTTTTTATCTGAAAAAATGCCTAAGCTGCTCATCCTCTAATATCCTTTCACCTGTTCTTTTGTTCTTGTGGGCGTATACTTTTATTCCTACACATCATTTTACTGAGGTCTGGAGAGAGATGACAAATTGAACCAGGAGTCCTAGGCAAGGACTTTTATCATAGACTGCATTGTGGGGTTATGCCCAAGCTTTGGATTTCTTGTTTGGGGACGTATCTCTTTTAGGTGACTATTTCCAATAATAACATGTTTTTGCTACTAAAGCATCGACAGGTTTTGCTTGAAATTTTTTCCAAAAATTACCGGGTGCGCCGGAACATGATCCAGTCTCGGTTGACTCAAGAATGTGGAGAAGATCTGAGTAAACAGGAAGTGGATAAAGTGCTAAAGGTACGTCTATTTTGTGCACCATAATATCCAAAGGCTCTGGGCTTCTGCTCTCACCATTAAGAGCAAGCGTGTTGTAAAGGACCCTAGTCTGGTGCCTTCCTATAGCCAGCCAGTCATTTCTTCAGCAACTGACACTCCTTGGCATTGGTGGGTGGGGGTTGTGTAAGATGTAGGCCCCATCCTCAAACAGGATAGTCTGGTGGGTCCCCATCCTCATCCTTTAAAGAACTGACAGGGCCTCCATTAGAATTCTGACTCCACTACCCCTTGAATTTTGTACCACCTTCATGATTTTTTGCCAGAGCCACATACTAACACTTTTACTACTTACTTTCAATAGAATCAAATTTTAAAGTTAAGTGTAAAAACAGGAATAGCACTTGTCCAATGTATGAGAAGTACATAATAAGTGTGCTGCCTGTAATGCTGTTTTGAACTGAGTGATACAAATACCATGTTTTCAGAAACATTTAGAACCGAGGAAGTTTTTATTTATTTTATTGTTGTGCTTTAAGTGAAAGTCTACAATTCAAGTTAGCCTCTCATACAAAAATGTATATATACATTGTTATTTGATCCTAGTTGCTTTCCCTACACTGTGACAGCACACTCTTCCTTTCCACCCCAGATTTCCCATGTCCATTCAACCAGCTCCTGACCCTCTCTGCCTTCTCATCTCACCTCTGGACAGGAGCTGCCCATTCAGCTCATGTATCTACTTGAGCTAAGAAGCACACTCTTCGCGAGTATCATTTTATGTTCCATAGTCCAGTCTAATCTTTGTCTGAAGAGTTGGCCTCGGGAGTGGTTTTAGTGCTGGGTTGACAGAGAGTCCAGGGGCCGTGTCTTCCGGGGTCCCTCCGGTCTCAATCAAACCATTAGGTCTGGTCTTTTAACTAGAATTTGAGTTCTGCACCCCACTTTTCTCCTCCGTCAGGGACTCAGAGAAAGTTTTTGACGAATATCCTTAAATTTTAACCTATTTATTTTAAACATCCAAGGTGAGACACAGCATTGGCCAGTTCAGCATTTTTCATGCACTTTGTTCTGGTCAACTTAACAGATTTTGTATTTTGTGTTTACAAAGCACATTCATTTATAGTCCCTGACTCTTAAAATATCCCTAGTCCAAAAAACTGAAGTGACCAGATACCACAACATCATGCTTAGGCAGATCTTGATCACCCATTTGTGTTCTATCCATTAGTCATGATTCAAGTTTGATACTCTGAACAGAATGTAGTAACTACGTTTCCTGCTAAAATCTGCCCTTGATATGTTTCTCTTCATAGGACTGCTGTGTAAGCTATGGTGGTATGTGGTACCTTAAAGGGACAGTACAGTCTTGACAGTAGTAGTAAACCACTAACCCCAATGAATCCAAGCCTGAGGAAGGACAGCAGAGCCAGCAGAGGTAGAAGTGGTTCTCGACTTGCTTCAGGAAACACTGAACAAAAAGAACTGACCATCGGGTGGCCTGGGGCATTGCATTGTCCAGTGGACAGAGGTGATCATTCTTAATGGGTTGCAGGGTCAGCTTAAGTTCGATCGCTCCCAGAAGAGACCAACCGGGACCTTCTTTAGTACAGTTTGAAATTCCTGATGTATTTTGCTTATTATTTGGTTTCATTCTCATAATAAAGAGAGTGTATATTGAAACGGACAGGACGATGAAAATCATAGTTTAATATTTTACTTTTTAAACTTAATGCCAACGAGGTCTAAGTTATGTTTACAAGATGAAGCAAATCCAAGGTTTTTAATATTTAAAATACCTAGAAGCCAATACTTAGTCTTGGATTATCTATCTGCTAAGACTTCTGCCATTTTCATGAAACAAACCAAATTGAATTGTTTTACTGTTGGGTTTCTGCGACCACTTTACCTTTTAAAACAACCTATGTTACATGGCAGTCTCAACTGTTTACATGAATCCTAGCAAAAAAATTAGAATCAAATTCATTTATTCTTGATGTTTGCATAAGGTTGCAAACAAAACGAGGTAAGTATGGAACAATGTATAAGCGAGGTTATCACACTTTGATGTAAAAATTTATATTTTGTGTATTTTTAAAATAAATGCTAACAGTAAACTGGCAACATGGTGCTGCAGTCTTCAAGTGGGCTTCCGATGGGTGTTTGTCTGTGATCTGAAAGCAGCAAATGTACCTGAGATGGCGGGGAGCTAATAAAGGGACGGAGAACTCCTTAGAGCAGCGCTGTCCAGTGAAAATATTATGTGAGTCACACGTAATTTTTAAATTTTTAGTACCATATTAAAATATATATATATATATATATATACACATATATGTATAAACAGGATAAATTTTAACGTATTTTATTTAACACAGTACATACATCCAAAACATCATTTGAAGATGTAATAAAAAAAACTTTTTTTTTTTGGTACTGAGCGTTCAAAATCTGGTTTATATTTTACGCTTACAACATTCAGTTTGGACTAGCTACAATTTAAGTGCTCGGTTGCCACATGTAGCTAGTGGCTACCTCTTGGATAGTGCAGCCCTAGAGGATTGTGAGAAAATACAGTAAGCTTGGTTGGGTGAGATGTGAATTTTGCAATACAGGCAGTCCCCGGGTTCCGGCTCAACCCGTAGTTAAGAACCAACCCCTAGAAAGCCTATTGTAGTAAAAATTTGAGAGACATACAATGGTTCGTAATAACAAATGGGCGCTACTTTGCGATGCACATCAAAACATTATTGTTACTGTATTATTATGTTAAAATGTTTTAGTGTATCTAAAACTTTCTTTAATGTTTTTTATGCATTGAAAGGTACGCTATATATTATTATACTAAGACAAACGTTTGACTGACGTTAGATATGAACCGTACCTAACTGTTCCGACTCGTACAAATTCAACTTAAAGACAGACTTAGGAATGGAACTTGTTCATAATCTGGGGACTGCCTGTGTAGGACTTTTGTCATAATCTCTTTTGTGCAGTACAGCCACTACTGTCTGAAGTTTAGATGATGGTCAACCGTGTCCCCATCCCAAAAGAAAAACACCTGTTACTTTAACCATCAATCATTGATCAGGGATGTCCTTTGCCAAATAAGTATTTGGTGACAGTTTAACAGGTTGATTGTCTATTACTCTCTTGGTTCTAATTGTTAACATACATGAGCCTGAAAAGAGTTAAAAATTACCAAAATTGATCTGGAGTATGTCTCAGCTATTGAATACTAATGTTCTTCCTTTGAAAGGGGAAATCCTTTGTGGTGGTGTAGCATTAGAGAATGTTAGCACTCATGTGGAGCAGAACTTATGAGGTATAATTATGGCAATGTAAGTGGGGAAGTCATAGACTTAAACATTTACATTGATAAACAAAAAGGCATTAAACATTGAATTCAAATAGCCAGAAAAATAAATAAACTTAAGGAATATAGGAGGAAATAATTGTTAAAGAACAGCAGAAATTAACAAGGTAAAAATGGAAATAAAGTGAAACCAAAGTAAGGTATGGTAATAGCTAATCAGTTAGGGAAAAAGCTGCAAGCCTGGATAGACTCAATGAGATAGGAGAAGTTGCAGAGGAATTAGGTGATTTGTAAGGAAATACGAATTATGATAATTGGCACATCAACGAGGATAAACTCAAAAGAGAGTCACACTGAGACATTATAGTCAAACTGTCAAAACCCAGAGAGTTTTGAAAGCAGTAGGAGAAAAGCAGCTCTTCATGTGCAAGATAATCCTCAATGGAGGCCAGAAGGCAATGGGATGATATATTTAAAGTCCTGAAGGGAAAAAATAAACTGTCAACAATAATTTTTGGCAAAACTGTCCTTCAGAAATAAAGGAGAAATTAAAACATTTCCAGATAAACAAAAGCTGAGGGAGTTTATTACCGGTAGACTTGTCCTACAAGAAATGCTGAAGGGAGTTATTTAGGCTGAAATGAAAGGACACTAGACAGTAACTCAAAGCCATAAAAAAGCAATACTAGTGAAGATAACTTCTTAGGTAAATATAGAAGCCAGTATTACTGTACTTTTGGTTTGGTTTGTAACATCTTTGCCTAGATGATTTAAAAAGCAAATGCATAAAACAATAATTGTAAATCTATGTCAATGGGCATACAATGTATAAAGATGTAATCTGTGACAATAAGAATATAAAGGGGGTGGGACAGAGATGTATAGGAACTGAGAATTTATATACTACTAAAACTAAGTTGGTATTCAGACTGGATTGTTATAAGTTTCAGATGTTATTTGTAATCTCCAAGTCACCACTAAGAAAATAACTAAAAAAATTACATAGAAAAGGAAAGGGACACAAAAGATTGTACTACAAAAAATTAAGTACAGTAAAAAGCAAAATGGGAACACTGAGGACCACAAAGCATATAAAACATACAGAAAATAACTAAATGGCAAAAGTAAATCCTTATCAGTAATCATGTTAAATGTAATAGATTAAACTTTCCTAATTCAAGGGCTGAGATTGGCAAATTAGATATTTAAAAGAAAAAAAAAGATCTATCTACAGGTAGTCCCCGACTTATGACGCATTTGAGGTACGATGAACTGCACTTACGACCATGTTTTTTAGTACATCTTATTGTTAGTAATATGTACTACATACAGTGTTGCAGAACATAATTTGTTGATGTTATCATTGTGTGATGTTCACTGGCAGATGTTCGAAGATCAGATTTATAAAGATACTGATAGTAAAGGCAATAATAATGAAAACTAAAAAAAAAAATCAGCTTAATGACAGAGTCATCAAAATGGAACCTCATTATAAGTTGGGGACTACCTGTGTATGCTTTCTACAAGAGACACACTTAATAGATAACAGGACACAAAGAGATTGAAAGTAAAAGGATGGAAAAGATAGTCCATGCAAATAGTAACCAAAAGAGCAGTGTTGTTTATATTGTCAGACAAAATAGATTAAATCAAAAAAGTTACAAGAGACAAAGAAGGACATTATGTATTAAGGTTCAATACAGCAAGAAGATACAACCATTATAAACATACGCAACAGGGCTACAAAATATATGAAGCAAACATTAACAGTATTGAAGGGAGAAATACACAGTTCTTCAATACTTGGAGACTTCAACATCCCCCTTTCAGTAATGGGTAGAACATCTAGGCAACAGAAGGTCAGTAAAGAAATTGAGGACTTGAGCAACACTGTGAACCATCTAGACCTAACAAACATATATACAAACACTCCACCCAACAAAAGCAGAATACACGTTCTCTAGTGCACACCAATTAGTCCCCAGTATAGAACATATCCAGGATAGACCAGGTCACAAAAAGTCTCAATAAATTTAAAAAGATTGAAATCATACAAAGTATTCTCCAACCACAGTGAAATGAAACTAGAAATCAATAACAGAAGGAAAACTGGAAATTACGCAAATAAGTGGAAATTAAACACCACCACCCCAAATTGGGGTGCCCTGGTGGTACAGTGGTTAAGAGCTCAGCTGCTAACCAAAAGGTCAGCAGTTTGAATTCACCAGCTGCTCCTTGGAAACCCTGTGGGGCAATTCTGCTCTGTCCTGTAGGGTTGATGTGAGTTAGAATCGACTCAGCAACAATGGTTTTCTGTGGGGGTGGGGTGGGGGATACCCCAGATTGGAATATAAGAAGTAAAACTGTTTGCAGATGACATGATCTTATATGTAGAAAACCCTAAATCCATAAAAAATTGTTAGCACTAATAAATGAATTCAACAAAGTTGGAGGTTACATAGCAAGTCAACACACAAAAGTCAGTTGTATTTCTATACACTAACAATGAACAAGCTGAAAAGGAAATTAAGAATCCAGTTCCATTTACAGTAGCATCAAAGAGAATGAAATACTTAGGAATACATTTAACCAAGGAGGTGAAAGACTTGTACACTGAAAACCACAAAACATCATTGAAAGAAATGAAAGACCTAAATGCAGGTAGTCCCTGACTTAGGAGGTTTTTGAGTTGTGACGGACCGTACTTACTACTGTCAATATATCTGGAACATTGCATCTTCCTAGGAGGAAGTTACGGGAAAATGCTTGGGGGGAATATGGAAAAAATTGCTGAGTTATGTGAACACACTGCAAGCATTTGATCAGGATAATATGATGGAAGAGATTGGTAGAAATATTGTCCATATGGCAAGAACGCTGAATTTAAAACTTGATACCGCCGATGTGGAATAGCTCATAGATGATGAAGGGGAATTGACAGATCAGGACTTAATGGATTTTGAAGAGGAAAGAAAGAATGAGAAAGAAAAAGAGAAGTTGTCAAAAATTTTTACAGTGAAAGAATTAGCTAAAATTTTCTAATGGAGTCTTTTCTAAACTAAATCGGGAGCTTCAGTTGCTTGAAAACATGAACCCAAACACTGATCGCTGTGCTAAAGTCAGTAGGCAGATTCGGGAAGCAGTGCGATGTAACCATGGAATATATGAAGAAAAAAAGAAAAGGACCGTACAAGCAACTCTAATTTTCTGACTAGAAATGCCACCCCCATTCCCAGGGATGATCCAGATGATCCAGAATCTTCCACAAGTGAAGTTATTACCACAACTGACAAAATGCCAATATTGTCATGTATTAAGGCCTGAAGTGTTGGTCCTATTTTTTCTTCTATGAACTTTATAGTTTTAGGCTTTATATTCAGGTCTTTGATCCATTTTGAA